TATTTATATCTTATTTAAACAAAACAAATATGATCGCATAGGTTGACTATTGATAGGGAACTAGAAGTCAGACCTGGAGATAATACTATTTTCTAAAGGATTCAATTGGCCTTATATTCTGAGTACTAGTATTAACAGTCACCCTGCATTTCATAAACATACATATTCACACTACACTACTCCATAATTAATAACAGACAACCAATGAAACATAAAACAACCAAACCAAGCCAAATTTCCAGACCTCAAATCAGCCAAACAAGCGGTAACAAGAACAGAGCACAAATAATGAGTAGGGAAGAGGGCAGGATCTGGTAAGAGTTAAGGGATGTGGTGAATACAATCAAAACTTGGTGTATAAACTTCAAAATAACTAATGAAAAGTTTTAAAAGATGAATTACAAATATCCATAAATACTTGAAAAATAATGCTCAACATCCTTAGCCATGAGGGAAGTGAAACTTAAAACTATATTGATATTCCATCTCAACTTATTTGGAATGACAACAAATGCTGGCAATTATGCAGGGAAAGGGTATCCTTACATACTGTTGATGGAGTGTAAAATAGCACATCCACAGTGGAACTTACAACAGAAAGGATTCTAAGGTAATTGCATTCTAAGGTAGAGGTATTTGTATGTCCTTGTTCATTACAGCATCATTAGCAAAACCAATCCATAGAATCAGTGTAGGTACCCATTGACAGATGAATGGATGAGGAAAGTGTGTAATATATGTAAAATGAAGTCTTATTCTTTCATAAAGACATTCAGATAAATAATTAAGCAAGAATGGCTTTGCTACAATGTGGATGCAACTGGCCATCAATATATAAGAAAAAATAAGCCAATATCAAGTTTTCTCTCATCTGTGGATTCTAGATTTTATATAGATAGTAAACTATATGTATATTTGACACGAAAGCAGGAGTTTGTGGAAAGGAAGGATAATAGTAAAAAGACAAAAAGAATAGGGGAACGGACTGAAAGGAGAGGGTATGGGAAGTGAATATCGTCAAACTACATGGTTCACTCAAAAGATAATTGTCTTTATGAAACACACACAATGAATATCTGTCAATATAAATAATCCTTCTATAAGTGTAAATATACAGAGGTTATTTCATTGAATAATCTAATTCTATCTCTAATATAAGATATTCATTCACTTTTATTTCATATGCATAAAACTTTCATTTCATTAAAACTTTTTGTTAGTTTACCAGTTTTAAATCCTTTCACAGTTTCTTTGACCATTTGCTAAAATGGATTTACATTGTTAACATGTGGAGATAATTCCCTTCCATGATCCCTGTTGTTTGAAGCTGTATTGTAGAATATGAGTTGAAGATGTGTTACATTAGTTTATGCTGTGGAACATTTGTTTAATGATGCAAAGACTGCTGTATTCCTTATGTTGCATTTGTTTTACTCTGTGAATCTATGTTACTTTGCCTGTCTACAACAAAACATTTGATTGGTCTAACAAAGAGCTGAATAGCTACTAGCTAGACAGGAGAGTGATGGTTGGTTTGAATCTCAACTAGCCACAAATTGGAATATACATATTCATCATACAGGTACTGTTCCTTTAGAGAAAAGTAACTAACACAAGCAAGCTACAAAAATATGAAACAATAATGCTGCTAATTACAGTAATTTACATATATATAACAATATACCACTATTTCTGAAACCATCTTCACATTTGCCCCAAAGTGAATGAGAAGCTGCTTTTTCTGTCTGTCTTGATTGTATTCTTTTACATGTCCAGGACCGAGGTCCCAACCCCAGATTCTAAACCATCAACCGGAGTTCTTTCATTTCATAATATCCATAAACTCATCCTATCCAAGAGGGTTCTTCCTAACATGAAACCAGAGAAAATGCTGTCCATGGGTTGTTCTTGGCCAGAAACTCACTATGCCACAGCTTACATGTACATAACTAATACAATTTCTGGGGTTTCTTTTCACAGTTTCTTATTATTATGTTTTAAATAAACACAACTCTAATGTTTTAAATCTCTTTAATATACATGAATAGGTTTCTGTTTTCATTAGTCAATCAAATTGGGACTTATAAAACTGTTTCCTCCTGGGAAAGCTGTCTCATAATCCTGTGCTTTGTCCTCTGTAAAGACTCTGAAAATGAGAGCCAGTGATAATATGTATATTTATTTCCATATTACAGTGGTGTATTCAAATAGCACCTGTCTCTCTGTCTTATGATTACCATTTTATTTGCCTCTTCTGCACAATAGAAAATAGCGTACTCCTGATTGAGGAAGGAGGATTATGCTTTCAAGACCAGCCTATGATACATAGTGAGACTGTGTCTCAATAAGAAGGAATATAGCTGGGTATTCTATGTACACAACCAATGACAGAATGCTTGCCCGACACATTCAAGCCCTGCATTGGATTCTCAGAATTAGGAGGGGGACAGTGAACTACAGTATGTTCTTCAACATTGAATATCTAGTTTCTAATATTATTTCTGGCACATATTACCTAACAAATACTTACTAGGGGTAAAAATTAAGAATTATGAATTAACCAGCATAAGATAAACCATATATATGACCAAATTTTATTATATTAATATTAATCATATATATATATATATCCTAAAGTATTATTATTCCACACCTGGCTGGATAGTTTGACTAATGGTGTTCAACTTGGTTATCAAGAAATACATTCACCAGATGTCTAAAATGAAAGGCAAACAGTTCGGTACTTAAGGGAAAACCTTGAGGTTTTCTTATCACTGAACATAAACAGTCTCTACAAGCATTAAGTCCACTCTCAATATAAACCTAATAGAAGCCCATGCACCTCTTCTAAAAAAAAATGAATAAAGGTGTTCATAGGATCATTACTTGTCATGATCAAAACACAAATGCAAATCAAGAATGTATTTCATGACACACTGTAGTGGATATACCCACATTCGTGGGTAAAAATGGCAGAATTTGGATTCAGATTTTTTTAAAGGACATTAATTTGACATGGTGACATAAGGATGGATCTGAGAGGAGTAGGACTGGGGGGGCGTAGATATGATCAAAATACATTGCATGAAATTCTCAAATAATTAACAAAATATTTTATTGAAAAAGAACCTGTTATATAAATAAATTTTAGTATCACACATGGAAATCATGAAACAAAGAGATTTAATGAGCTATATTTCCTCTAAAAATGTAATTAAATCTATCAATAAATTAAAGAAACCAGAAACAAATAATAGATGCTAAATGGACATTCATATTTTAAAGTCAACACAGATAAAATAAACCCATAGTGTGAGGGGATAGGATACAGAGAATTAAAGGAAAGGAGTCTGCATACTGCTGTGCAAAATTATCCATTTCTCCCAGAATCTGCTTTATTTAAATACAAAGGTTAAAAGCTCACCCACACACCTTGACCTGCCTTACTCATATGTTGTCATAAGCTTTCCACTCATTTCATCTTCATGATCAAATTACAGGCAACTTTGCATCAAATAGTTTTCAAAATAAATGTGGTGAATCGAAAGTGTACAAAAGCATCATGAACGCCTTAACCACATGAGGCAAGTTTATTGTTTAGAGAAACACTGTGTTCCTCAGTCAGTTTTGTGTTCGTGCATTAGCTGGGATGATTTGCAGGACTATGGTCTTCTAGCAATATTTTACTTCCCCGAACCTCAGCATTTTCATCTCAGAAATAGGTTTAACATTATCTGACTCACAGTGTTGAGTAAAATGAGAACACGGGATCATTGGACAATTAAAAGTCACCACAAGCGTTTAAGTTTCCACAGGTAGTTTGGTCCTCGCCTTCAGGGAAGGTTTGAACAATACACATAAAAACATAAGCTGGCCACACAACAAAAACAACAACCTAGCTGTCCATCATTGATTCCACAACAGTGTTTGTACTATTTTCTCCCTCATCATAATTTGCTCCCAGGTTCTCTTCTCCTTTATAGTCAGAGCTATTTCATGAAAGGTCTTCCTCATCGTGCATTTTGTTTACTTATTTATCATTATTACTTGGTGCCAGGACACTCTCGTGCTAAGCAGAAGCCTAATCACCAAACCTTTCTTTTGAGCTTACCATGGTTTTTATTTCGTTATCTGAATTCTTTATTATAAGCATTTATTCTAGTTTTTACATTATACTTGTGGCATGGGGTATGTGTTCTTGAGTGCATATACCCACAGAGGATGGTAGAGGTCTGTGGATCTCCTGGAGCTGGATTTCCAGTGTGTGTGCACCTCCTGATGTAGGTACTTGGAACAAAATTTGGGGCTTCCTACAGAGCAGGATGTGCTTTTAACTCTTATCCACAGAGCAAGCTCTCTGGACCTCTCACCTAAATTCTAAGGAACGCTGATTATTGCCTTAACCTGGAGAAAAACTGATGGGTTAAATGCTGTTAATTCAGTCATACAGAATTAGCAGAAAATAATAACACAATGTTTTTTGAATTCTTGTTAGACTAGCTTGTAAGGACAGACAAATCCACGAAGCAAATTGTGAATAGACTTGCACACATAATAAAGTCTTAATAATCAAGAAGGACCTCAAAACAAGTCAATCTCAACACTAAAAGGCACATATGCAGTTTGACTGTGAATACAGGTGTAACTCAAAGGAAATAACAGATGTTGTGATGAGATCCTTTGCATCTAGCTGGTCTGCTAATTTTATAGTTACATAAAGCAGACATACAGAAAACTGTGTAGATTGAGCATGTTGTACCTACCTCAGAAGCAGCGTGCTTGCCTTTATTCTTATGCTTATCCAATTTTGTATAGTCACTGTTTCAAGTATGCTCACATTAAATGGTTTGCTAGCTGTGTGATTATATAGGTATATGATTAAAACACAAAAGCTGTCACACATCCTCTATACCTATGGTAAAAGTAAATGTCCTATAAACTAGTATTTAGTTGTCAATGAGCTCTAGTTACATATCTGTAAAAACAAAGAATAGATTTACCTGATTCTTGTACACAGATAGGAAGCATAAAGAGATGGAGAATGTAATGGAGTGAAAAGTCCATTTTATCTAATGATGAAAGTCTTCACAATCAGTCATAATATCTTGTTTCCCAGAAGAACTCCTGAGTGACACTGAATCCACTCTGGGTTATTCTTTGACCTATCTGTTGTTTATTTTAACCTATCAAGGGAAGAGGAGACACTGTGGGTGGTGCTATAAGTATAATAAACTTGTGAGGAATGGAGGAAGTGGGGCAGAAAAGGGATTAGAGTGAGGAAAGGAAAGAGAAAATTATGAGATATGGTCTTCATGTCTGAAATTCTCAGAAAATAATTTTATTCAAAAATTATGTTAAATTACACTTCATTGCAAAACTTTTCAATTTTCTGGCTATCCTATCCTCCAGATATTACATGAATTTATGTTACTAGAGGAGATGCTGGGGTTCTTCTGTGGTGCAATTCCCAGGTTCCTTTTACTTGGGGCAGAGAATTGAACAAGACATAGAAAAACAGTAATTTGTTATAAAAGGAAACGGTAGATTTATTAAAGTGACAGTAAAGCATAGAGTACACAGAGAGAAGTAGATGGGGTCAAAAACACATGTGATTGAAGAACCTTGAGTTCTTTTCTGGGGTTCCTAGGTGGAGTGAGGAGCTGAGGGGCAGGAGTGAAATGAATCCTTATCTTGATGGACAGATAGGCTGTTAATTTAAGTGCATGATGCCTCATAATTAGATGGGAAATAAGCAGAAAATAAGATATACCTAAGTGTGGGTACTATCTTCTCAAATGTGTGTCATGCTTCATAGGTTTTACAACAGTCCTACACATAGGATTTGGGTGGGGTTTTGACTCGAAAATGAGGAAGCCCTTTCCCTTCCCATGTCCCCACCCTCCTCCCTTTATTTCTATTTTATCTAAACAGAAGTAAATATTATCACCCCCAATAAAGCATTGATGGGGAACTAGAACCCAGAGATTGGACCAGGAGATGATGCCCTTCTCTGATGATTGCAATTGGCCTTGGGTTCTCTGCACTGGGATCAGCAGTCAGGCTGCATTTCATAAACATGTGTTTCATACTACTCTCCTCATATCTTCCAATCCGCAAATCAAGCAAACAACCGAAGCAACAAAAATAGAAGACAAAAAGTACATAAGGGATAGGGCCTCTGGACCTGGTAGGAGTTAGGGATATGGTAAATATGATCAAAATCAAAATACGTTGTTTAAACTTCAAAAGAACAAATAAAATGCTTTCAAAGATGAAGTAAAAAATACCTGTGAACTTATGAAAAAAAAAACCCTTAGCTATCAGGGAAGAGAAAATTGACACTACATTGAGATAATATCTCACCTCAGTTGGAATGGCAACTCAATTAGGCAGTGTGACTGCAGACTTTTTATAGTAAAGCTCTCACAGCACCATCCAGGGCCAGGAGCACTACCCAATTAACGGGCTTTTGAAGAAGAATACAGAAGAAAGCTTCCTCAAATCCTGCCTGTCTTCCAGGGTGTGCTGATATCCAGCACCACATCCGACCCTCCATTTCACGCCAAAGGTAATGATAGTTTCTATATGCAACTGCAAGTTCCTTGTTCAAGTCTTGTCCATTGAGACACAGTCTCTTACATGTTCTTACCACCAGGTGGCACCTGAGGCACAAGTTTGACCCAATTTGTGCTGATAAGGTGTGGCAGTTGACTTCTGGGTCTCACCTGGGACAAACCTCCCTGAAGATGTTTTGTGAGCCAGTTTTAAGAGAGTCTCTCTGTGTGCATGGGACGGGGAAGAGAGAAACGTCACTGCATGGCTCAGCTGTCTTTGCAGGAGAAGGCTTTCCCCTTACTCGGGTCCTTTGCAAATTCCAGTGTGAAGAGAACTCCGCAACTAAGGAAAGCCCTCACTCTGCAGTCATAGTTGTGGTGAGCAGATCACCTATCTATCTTCCAACATCTGTCATCTTTTTCCACCTACTCACTTCTGGGAATGTGGAGACAGTTTCAGAGCTTTGGTTCATTATCATCATGGAGGGGAGCACACGGGCAGGGAGCATGGCAGGCCAGCATGGAGCTGGAGAAGTAGCCTAGAGCTACACCCTGATGCATAGGCTAGTAGTTGCCTCTAGGCCTATAACCAGACTTTAGGCAAAGCAGACTCTTAGAGGGGAGAGAGAAAGTATTGTTCATGAGAAGGTGTGATTCACTACTGAAGAGATTAGTGAGTTTGCTAATTCATTCAAATAGAAGTCTTGGGAATGAATATGAAGGAATGTATTTTAAGGGTGTGGGATAACGGCAGAAAGAACATAATGGATCAGCTTTATTTTGTTGATGTGAGTCCTCTGAGTGGATATTCTAGGTTTAATAAGGAATATTGCACAGATTAGAAAACATGGTGGCAAAAGTTTATTTGGATGGTGGGCTGAAGCATTTGTCAAAAGATGGCCTACTGAAAAGGAGTTGGAAATGCCCGATACCCTCTGAATTAGTGTTGCTGAAGAGATTTGAGGCTCAGGGAAATTGCAATGCTAGGGGTGGGTATGCTGTGCAAAACCTAATCCTCCACAATGGGAAGGCTCAGAAGACCTGCGCACCACCCAGTTCTATAAGATGCAAAATGGTGAGAGGGACACCAGCACATTTGAAGTGCCTTGTTGACATCCTTCTTCTCATGCCACACCTTCAGGTTGGAGAAGCTGCTATTCAGTCAAATGAATTAAAGGCAGAGGGTTTGATTGTGTTCCATGGTACCATGGAGTGGCAGCACTGAATTGCCAAAAGCAAGGTGATTGTAATAGGTAGCACAAGCAAAGTACATTTTTTGGTAGCATGACTCCTATGGACCTTTGGTACTGGCTAATCAATCAAGGTGTATATATGAATGATAACAAGTCTACTAGATTTTGTTTGATCTGCGTACATGCAAAAATTCTCAAATAAATGAAAAGAAGGCTGTATTGGATCGTGGCAAAAGGAAAACATGACTTGTCAATTAATTTCTGGACTTAAGGCAGTTTGCATACCCCAGATCCCTTGAATGAAAAGACAGCCAGATTCCCCTGAGGAAGGATCTTGATAAAATACCTAAAAATATTCCTGGATATCCCAAGAAACATTGTGGCCTTTCAGTTAAATAGGGGCTTATGCAGGTCAGGTGATTAATGAAGGTTTGACTGAAATCCAACTCACAGTAGCTATAGTAGATCTCCAAACTCGTTCTGTGTTTTTTTTCCAGTCCTGGAATGTATAATTGGGATAGATATACTTAGATTTTAGCAGAACTCACGTTGGTTCCCTGCCCTGTGAAGCGAGGGATATTATGGTTGGAAAGGCTGAATGGAAGGTCTTAGAGTTGCCTTTGCCAGGGAAAATAGTGAATCAAACCCAGTATCACATCTCTAGAGGAAATACAGAAACTGTTGCCCCAATTAAGAACTTGAAAGATTCGGGGGTGGTAGTTCCCACCACTCTCCCTTTAACTCCCCTATCCGGCAAGTGTAGAAAACAAATCATGGAGAATGGCAACTGACTATCAAAAACTAAATCTGGATGTGACTCTGATGGCTGCTGCTGTACAAGATACGATGGCCTTACTGGAGCAGATTAACGCACACCCCAGTACATGGTGGGATGAGTAGTTCCGTGTCAACTTGACATAAGCTAAAATCAGAAAGGAGCCTCAGTTAAGAAAATGCCTCCATAAGATCAGGATATGAGCAAGTCTGTAGGGCATTTTCTTCATTATTGATTGATGGGGGAGGGCACAGCCCATTGTAGATTATACCATTCCTGGGCAAATAGCCCTAAATTCTAAGGAGGCGGAACAAGTCATGATGAGCAAGCTAGTTTACAGTACCTATCCATGGCCTCTGCATTGGCTCCTGCTTCCAATTTCCTGCCCTATTTGAAGTCCTGTGATGATAAACAGTCACATGAAAGTGTAAGTCAAAAAACCCTTTCCTCCCCAATTTGTTTTTGGTCTTCATGTTTCACCACAGTAACAGAAACCCTAACTAAGACACATGGCTTGCAGATATGGATCTAGCAAATTCCTTTTGTGGAGATTTATTCATAAGGACCCCCTTAGCAATTTGCTTTCAGTTGTCAAGGCCAGCAATATACCTTTACAATTCTACCTCAAAGATCTATTCTCCAGTCTGTGTCAAAACAGAGTCAGAAGGGCTGCATCCTATATTCTTCCACAAAATATCACATACTGCACTATATTGATGGCATATGCTAATTTGACTAACTGAACAGGAGGTAGCAATCACTTTGAACTCATTAGTAACATATATGCACATAGAGACTGAGAAATAAATCCAGCAAAAATTCAAGAACCTTCTACCTCAGTAAAATTCTCAGGACTCCAGTGGTATGGTACATGCAGACATATTCTCTGTGTGTATGTCTGTGTATTGTGTAAATTCTTGGTCTCTGTTTAGGCCAGAAAAAGGCATTTAATCTCTTGGAAGTTAAATGTGGCTGTGAGCCTCCATGTTGGTGCTGGCAATCAAATCCGGATCCTCTGGAAGAATAGAAAGTGCTCTTAACTGCTGGGCCATCACTCCAGCCCCAATAAATTACTATTTTCCAACTACTGAAGCAAACCAAATTGGAGTAAATTATTGAAGTAAACTGTTATAAAGGTTTCCACCTTAATGTTTTTAAAGACTTTTTAATTTAAAAGTGTCTTTTATAAGGTTTATAGGACACAAGTACACAATTTGAATTGTTTATTTGACCAGAACCAAGACTTTTTTCTGTTTTATAACATTTTTCTTTTCTCTTATGCCTTTTATTGTTTACATCACTTTTTAATTTAAATGTATTTTTATCCCTTCCTACACCTCTCTCAAGTCCTCCTGATTTGCTCCCTATCCCAACTTCAAGGTCTTTCTCAAAAACTAAACATAACCCAATACAATAACAAAACCACCAAAACCTAAAAAACAAAATAAACGCTCAAAAAGGAAAAAAGAGATAGTCAACAAACCCAACAAAACAAAACAACAACAACTATGAAGTCCATATAAGTCAGTCAGCTCCTCTGGAACATGAATACTGTACTAGAGTAGTTGATATCCCACTATTGGAGAAAACTCTCACAGCAGGTATAAATGACAGTTCAGTTATTAACCTCTACTCTAGTAGTTAGGTTTTCATCCATCCATTTACTGTCTTCAAAATATAATGAAATAAAACAGATACTATCACATCACAGTTGGACAAGCGAAGCCAGCAAAAGGAAAAGAGGCCAAGAGAAGACTAACAAAAAAATCAAGAGACCAAGAAATTCTCACACTCAGAAATTCCATGAAACCACTAAACTGGAAACCATAATTATACATGCAGAGAACCTGGTGCAGACCTGTGAAGGTTGTGTGCATGCTGCCTCAGTTTCTGTGAGTTCATATGTGTCCCATCAAATCCAGAAGATTCTGTGGGACAAGTTCCATGACTGAGGTGATAACTTCAAAAGAAGGAGGTCTCCTGGAAACGGTTGTGGAACTCTCAGCCAGAGAAAAATATCGAGCCATAGTTCTCATGGCAATCTCTGTTCATCTATTCTTTACTCATATTGACAAACTGTTCCTAAAAGCCCAAGCTGACATTTTAAACAAAGATATAAATGATAAACCATCCTGAGACGTGGTTACTGGCCATGACCTTGTCTCCTGGAAACCAATGCTTTTCGAATCATTCTCGTCATTCACATAAGTAAATAGTAACGGTATTGATAAAACTTTCCCAACAATAAAATTTCATATGGCTGTACATGTGTGATCGAAAGTGGTTTTAATGTTTGGTAAAGAAAGCTTTTTAATAAGAAAAAGTCAAATGACTCAATATTTCAAAGACTCACAAAAAACTAGGTAACAGATATCAAACAATTTGTGAACCTGGCAACAGATGTCGAACAATAACTGACCATAAAAATTTGTTAACCTGATCTTAGAAATAGGCAGTTAGCTGCAGTTATCCCTGAATGATTTTCTGATTTATTGTTGGATAACCTGTGTGTTAGTAATGATGATGTCACTTGGGTATTGTTTCCTGAACACAACCCCTGAGATGATATCTGTTTTCTTTAAAAAAAAAGCCTTGCTTGAGACCTGCAAAATACACTCAAATTCAAACTGTCTCTATGTTTGTTTCTGTTTGTCACCACTAAATCCTTACCCACCTAATCTTCAAGAACCCTCATCCCTGGGGCTCCCATAACTGGCCGGGGTAGTCCGTAGCACATAGGAGCTTTGCTTGTATTAATATAGAAGACTTTTCTTGGCATTCTCCATCCCTTCTGGCTCTTCCACTCCTTCTGCCTTCTCTTCTGCAGGGTTACCTGAGCTCTGAAGGGAGGGATTTGATGGGGGAAATTATATTTAGGGCTGAGTGTTCAAAGGTCTCTCACTTTCCCCAAAAAAATCTGTTTATGAGTCTCTATGTTTGTTACCAGGAGGAAGTTCTTCTGATGATGGCTGAGCAAGACAATGATCTATAAGAATAGCAGAATATCATTAGGAATCACTTTATGACTATATTCCCCCCTTTTTTAGACCAGTATTATTTAGTTTTACCCTAGGTCTCTGAGCTATGCAGACTCAGGTTCTTGGTCATCCAAGCAGTATCCTGTATGGGTTTCATCTCTTGGAGTAGGACTTAAGTCAAATCATTCACCGGTTGGTTCCTCTCAAAAGCTTTGTGCTACCATTGCCCTACCACATCTTACAAGCAACACAACATTGTAAATAAAGGGTTTGTGGCTGTCTTGGTGTATAAGTTTCTCTTTTACTAGAGTGCAGAATAACTTATTGCACCAAAAATGTTGGAACATAGGAGTCAAGGCTCTGCAATGGCGAGTACCCTTGAATTCAATGGCACAGGAAAAGACTTTTTGAACAGAACACCATAAACACAGCAGAAAGATCAACAATTAACAAATGAGACCTCATGAAAGTTTGAAGCTTCTGCACAGTAACTGACACCTTTTTCACAGAAAGCAGTAGCCTACAGAATGGGGTGTGGTGGTGCTTTGTTTTTTCCAACTACACATCAAATAGACAACTACTATTCAAAATATATAAGAAACTAGATATCAATAAACACAACAGAAGGTAGGTATAGAGTAATGGACTGAGGATCAGATAAATCACATTAAGAAATGAAAACAGAAGAGAAAGCTATTGATGAATGGGGGATTGGAATGGGAGAATAAATTGGGGAAGAGGGGGCAGGAGAGGGTTATGGGAAAAAATACAAGGGGCATTTGAGGGTAGTATGGAAGCCCAATACATCAGAAACTTCCTAAATATATATAAGCAATCTAAATGAAATCAGCAAATACCAGGGCAGACAGGGTCCCAGCTGCTCATCTCTTCTCTCCCAATGAAGTTTCCAGTACTTTGGGTTACTTCTAACTGAGGTGTTGGACAAGGGGAATCCCATGGGAATAAAGAAAAACACCCTTGCCCTATAATGAGAATTATAACTACCTTAAATGCCATCCTAGAGCCTTCATTCAGTAGCTGATGGAGGCAGACACAGAGATCCTCAGCTAAGCACTGGGAGGAACTCCTATAATCCACTTGTAGAGAGGGAGGAATGACAAGCAAAGGGGTCAAGACCATGCTGGGAAAAATCACAGAAACAGCTGACCTTAGCAGGTAGGAACTCATGGACCCCAGTCTAACAGCTGATGAACCAACATAAGACCAAACCAGGACCCTGAACATGAGTGTCAGCTAGATGGTGTGGACAATCTATGGGGCCTCTGGCTGTGGAATCAGGATGCATGAAGGAAATTTGGGAGCCCATTCCCCATGGAGGGATACTCTCTTATCCTAGATACACGGGGGACAGCCTAGTCCCTGCCCCAAATGACTTGATAGATTTTGATGATCCCTCATGGAAGGCCTCACCCTCCCTGGGGAGTGGATGGGGCATGGGATGGGGGGGTTAGTGGGGGCATGGGAGGCTGGGAGGGAGAGGGAACTGGGATTGATATATAAAATAGGATTGTTTCTAATTTATTTACTTATTTTTTATTTTAGAAACACTCTTATTTACATATCCATCCCCTGTTCCCTTGCCCTCCCAATCTCCCATGCTTCCCACCAACCCAGTCCGCACCCACTTCCCAGGGATAGTGAGGTCCTCCAGGGACCATCAAAGTCCATCTCATCATTTGGAGGAGGGCCCAGGCTCTCCATTTCACATCTGGGCTGCAATAGTGTCCCTTCATTGGGAATGGGCTCCCCAAGTCCATTTGTGACCTAGGAATAAACACTGGCTCTACTGTTAGAGGTTCCGTAGACTGCCTTGGCTGCCTAGCAGCATGCAGACCCTAGTCGTAAAGTGGGGGAAACAGCATTGAGCCAAACAAAGCCCTCTGCATGCTCTAATTAGGTCAGGCCAACTGTGTCTGCAGGTATCTCCAGCACCATCTTGGTTCATTTGCTCATCTCTCTTCCCTCTCCACAACTGGATTCCGGGAGTATGGCTCAGTGTTTAGCTGTGGGTGACTGTTTCTGCTGCAATCAGCTACTGGGTCAAGTCTCTAAGAATGGTAACCAAGCTAGTCATCAGTCTCAATATACGGAAGGGAAAGGCAGCCTCTCCACCACGGCCTAGATACTTAGTTGGGGGTCATCCCTGTGGATCCCCTACCATTTCCTCTGCGCCAGAACTCTCTCCAAACCTGTACTGGCTCCCTTTATCAAGGCATCTCCTTTCCTGCCCTCCTCTATTCCTCCCCTATCTCAGTCCTCCTGTTCTCCTCCCTCCCTTCTCCCCCTTTCCCCTTTCCATCTCCCTACCCCCACCCCTGTGCTCCCAATTTGCTCAGGAGTTCTTGTCCCCCCTCTCCTTCAGGGGACCATGCATTCTTCTCTTGGGACCCTCTTTGTTTCCTAACTCCTCTGGCAATGTTGATTGTATGCTGGTAATCTTTCGCTCTATGTCTAAAATTTACATATGAGTGAGTACATAACATGTTTGTCTTTCTGTGACTGTGTTATCTCACTCAGGATGGTTTCTTCTGGTTGCATCAATTTGCCTGTGAATTTCAAGATTTTGTTGGTTTTTTTTCCACTGAGTAGTACTCCATTGTGTAAATGTACCACATTTTCTCTATCCACTCTTCAGTTGAGGGGCATCTAGGTTGCTTCCAGGTTCTGGCTATTACAAATAATGCTGCTATGAACATAGTGGAGCAGATGCCCTTGTTGTATGAATTTGCCTCATTTGGATATATGCCTAAGAGTGGAATTGCTGGGTCTTGTGGTAGATTAATTCCCATTTTCCTGAGGAATCTCTATACTGATTTCCAAAGTTGCTATACGAGTTGGCACTCCCACCAGCAGTGGAGGAGTGTTCCCCTCTCTCCACATCCTATCCAGAATAAATTGTCTTCGGTGTTTTTGATTTTAGCCATTCTGACAGGAGTAAGATGGTATCTCAGAGTTGTTTTGATTTGCATTTCCCTGATGGCTAAGGATGTTGAGTACTTTCTTAAGTTTCAGCCATTTTAAACTCCTCTATTGAGAACTCTCTATTTAGTTCTGTACCCCACTTTTTAATTAGATCCTTTGGTATTTTGGAGACTTGCTTCTTGAGTTCTTTGTAAAATTTGGAGATCAGCCCTCTGTCAGATGTGAGGTTAGTGAATATCTTTTCCCATTCTGTGGACTGCTTTTTTGTCTTGTTTACTGTGTCCTTTGCCTTATAGAAGCTCTTCAGTTTCAGGAGGTCCCATTTATTAAATGTTGATCTCAGTGTCTGTGCCACTGGTGTTATGTTCAGAAAGTGTTCACTGGTACCACTTTCTCTTCTAAGACATTCAATGTGGCTGGATTTATGTTGAGGTCTTTGGTCCTTTTGGATTTAAGTGTTGTGCATGGGGATAGATTTGGATCTATCTGCAATCTTCTAAATGTCCACATCCAGTTATGCCAGCACCATATGTTGAAGATGCTTTCTTTTTTCCATTGTTCAGCTTTAGCTTCTTTGTCAAAATCAGGTATTCATAGGTATGTGGGTTAATATCAGGTTTTTCCATTCAATTCCTTTGATCTACCTGGCTACTTTTGTGCTGATTCCAAGCTGTTTCAGGACTATGGCTCTATGATAGAGTTTAAAGTCAGGGATGGTGATGCCTCTAGAAGTTCCTTTATCTACTTTTGCGCCAATACCAAGCTGTTTTCAGGACTATGACTCTATGATAGAGGTTGAAGTCAGGGATGTTGATACCTCCCCAAGTTCCTTTATTGTACTGTACAGGGTTGTTTTTGGCTATCTTGGGTTTTTTGTTTTTCCATATAAAGTTGAGTATTGTTCTTTCAAGGTCTGTGAAGAATTGTGTTGGGATTTTCATGGTGATTGTATTGAATCTGTACATTGTTTTTGGCAAGATTACCATTTTTAATATGTTGATCCTACTTATCCAAGAATATGGGAGATCTTTCCATTTTCTGGTATCTACTTTAATTTCTTTCTTTAAAGACTCAAAGTCCTTGTGATACAGGTATTTCACTTGTTTTGTTAGTGTTACCCAAGATATTTTATGTTCTTTGTGGCTACTGTAAAGGGTGATGTTTCTCTAATTTATTTTTAAACTCATTTATCACCTGTATATAGTAGGACTACTGATTTTTTATTTAATTTTGTATCCTGCCACTTTGCTAAAGGTATTTATCAACTGTAGGAGTTCTCTCGTCGAGTTTTTGGGTCACTTATGTAAACTATCATATCATCTGCAAATAGTGAAAGTTTGACTTCTTCCTTTCCATTTTGTATCCCCTTGATCTCCTTTTATTGTCTTATTTCTCTAGCTAGAACTTCAAGTACAATATTGAAAAGATATGGAGAGAGTGGACAACCTTGTATTGTTCCTGAGTGTAGAGGAATTGCATTGAGTTTCTCTCCATTTAGTTTGATGTTAGTTGTTGTTTTGCTGTATATTTCTTCTACCATGTTCAAGTATATTCCTATTATTCCTGATCTCTACAATACTTTTATCATGAAGAGGTGTTGGATTTTTTTCAAAGACTTTTTCAGCATCTAGTAAGATGATCATATGGTTTTTCTTTTTCAGTTTGTTTATGTGGTAAATTACATTGATGGATTTTCGTATGTTGAAACATCCCTGCATCCCTGGGATGAAGCCTACTTGATCATGGTAGATGATTTTTCTGATGTGTGTTCCTGGATTCAATTTGCCAGTATTTTGTTGAGTATTTTTGCATCGGTGTTCATGAGGCATATTGGTCTATAGTTTCTTTCTTAGTTGTGTCTTTGTGGAGTTTGGGGATCAAGATAATTGTAGCCTTGCAAAAACAGTTTGGAAATGTCCCTTTTGTTTCTATTGTGTGGAACAATTTGAGGAGTACTAGTATTAGCTATTCTTTTAATTTCTGGTAGAATTCTTCACTGAAACCATATGGCCATGGGCTTTTTTTGGTTGGGAGACTTTTGATGACTTCTTCTATTTCATTAGGA